GCTGTCTTACATGGTTTTTTTAAACATCAAGGCAAAATGTTTGTGTAGGTGTGTTCCCCATTTTTTTTAAGCTCCAGTCAGAACAGCTGAGTCACCGACCATATCCCACTGCAGGCTTAAAAGAAGGTGGCTTTTAAGAGGACTCCCACATTATTTTTCTTCTTTCTGAATGAGACTGGTAAACAAGTAATCAAAGAACTGAACAAACAATTCTCATACAGACAGCCATGGACACACATGGACACACACACACACCTCTGGGTAAATAAAGGTGAAAGAAAAGAGAGTTGGCTGTAGATTTATGGCAGAGTGTCAAGGAGAGGAGCCACTGACAGCTGGAGGACTCCCAGTCCTGATGCAATTCAGGTCACGCAGGCACACATTAAAGAAAGACACATCCACAGGTCAGTCCTTGGTCTGCTTTTTTTCTCCTTCAGTGAAAGGCAGACTTTGAATAGAAAACGAATTCATTTCGAAGCAGTTTATTTTAGCCCTGCATGCCATTTGAAGCTGAACAATGCCCATAATTCTATTACTGCTGTGACGTCCGCTGAGGGGAAAGAAGCTGCCTGTGACTCAACCGTCTGCGACCCTCCTGCCTCAGACTGCATCAGAAAGTAACCCTTATTTTTTAAACCAGCACTCAAAGCACCAGGTATCTATTTTTGGTGCATCCTTACCAAGGGTTGCCAACTTTTTAACTATCAAAGAAGGGATACTCTTGTGCTAGAAGCACAGTGCACAGCCAGCTGGGCATAGTGTAAATATGCACTGCATGTTCATATTCTAATAATAAAAATGCAGTAAAATGTTGGTATTCAGTTTAATCATTACCTCATCTAAAACAATAAAGACAAATACAGTAAATAATAATTTGGGCATTTCCTTTCAAAAATAAGCAAATAATAATAATAATAATAATAATAATAATAATAATAATAATAATGATGATGATGATGATGATGTAAAAACTTGTAGCTAGCCAAGCCACTATCGACTAGCATACTAGTAGAAGCTAACCAGTGTTAGCTCCTACCTGCAGACTGTCTCAAGCAGGTGAGGAGGAAGCTTATGTTTTCTTTTATTTTCTACAACAGCATGCCGTTATCATTAAAAAAACAAACAAACTGGCATGTACTGTAAATATGTAGTTAGACTTCTTAACCAGGGGTATCAAACATAAGGCCCAGGAGCCAGAATTGGCCTAGCAATGTCACCCATCTGGTCCACTGGGCGGCTTTGGAAAATGTGAAAGATGGTATAAATTCTCAACTTTTAACTTTATTTTCGTACAGTTTTCCCACTGATAAAGACCTCCTGGATAGTCATCCATACTACATTTAGGTAACAGATAAACAAGTAAATGATGACATCTACTAGGGAAATGTCTTTATAAGTCCACAGAAAAAAGGACATTTTCTATGAATTAACAAAAGCTTTGTGTTTTATAATTACGGGACAGTCTGGGCAATGAGCCACTGCACTTTTTTCTGTACTTTTACACATTTATTTCTTACAATTTAAGCCCAAAAAGTTGTGCAGTAAGTTTTCATTGCTTTTCACTTATTTCAGTATAAAATCTAATTTGCACTGTAAATGTTAAACTTCATGCATATGGCCCACAGTATAAAAAAGGTATGACATCCCTGTTCTTTACACTGACAGGATAGTTTCACTGACTGGTGGATTTGACATTGCTGACTTTGAAAGTCATTTTGTTCACATCTTCGAGCAGTTTTGGGGCAATGTTTAGTTTATTTGAGCCACCACATTT